CCGCGTACTATGCGCAATCAAGATCGAAGTAGAACAGCCGATAAAGCATAATCTGTCATTTAAAGTAAGAACCATGGCAATGTGACAAAATAAACGATGGACTAAAAGGATGTGAGGCCGATCTAGATCGATTTCGATCGGGCAGATTGATATTGCTGAAACTAATGACAATAAGGACATCAGCAAGATCGATAACTTAATAAATTTACTCGGAGGACGCCACCTCAGGTAGAGCCGATAACTTGACCTTAATCTAATTCGAGTAGTGAAGGTCGAACTTAACCGATGCAGCCATACTTGAACTAAATAAGGATCGATAACTAACTTATACTAGAGCTCGTAAGAGGTTGGCCGGACCGATGCAGCCTTACAAACAAGAGTATAAGCTATGGCGGTACTTACAGATAAGTCGGAGGTCAACCGGATCGATGCAGCCCGCTCATTGAAGAATTCGCCGAGATCTACAATACTTCTACTTCTAAGGGTTGGCGTGAAACCGAAAAAAGTAATTGACATTGATTGATTGTGGATCCTTTTTACAATAGTCGGGGTCCAATATTTATACCGAAATCTAAGCATGAATCCTACTCAAATACGATTCATTACAATCTTTAGAAATAAAATAAAATATTCATAACTTAAGATAACTTGGACTCTAATCTTTTCTTTTTAGAGTTCGACATATTTTTCCCGACGCCAACCATAGCTCATTGACGTTATCTACTAATGTCATCCGAAGAGAGTCGATCCCACTACCGCATCTGAATTAGCTGATATCGATCCTTATGCAATCGATTCCTTGATGACATAATCTTAGAAGCTTCGAGTTTCCGTGTTCTTCTTTCCAAATTTTGGTGTAAACACTAATTCATTTTCTTTTGTCTTTTAGATTTTGATTTTTGATTTGATTTGACATTATTCAACAACAAAAAAAATAGACAAATTCTTTTTTTTGAAAATTATGTGATAATTATGAGAACCAATCCTGTTGTTGTTGTTATCTATGTTACTTTTAGTTTCTCTATATTTTACACTATCATATCATCAAGAAAGTATGCTTTTAGCAGCAAGAAAAGAAAAAACAAAACAGGTAGAAGAGTTCAACGATAAATTTCTTTAAGAATAATACAACCATTTTAAAAGATCAAGACTACTTGGCGATAGTTGCTATATGGAGGAACCAAGTAGTTGTAGATAGTTGCTATAGAGGAACCAACTAGTGTTAATCTTATAGACAAGGGCCTCACAGAAGATAATGCCTATTGTCTATGTACTTATTTAGAAATACAAATATTGATACTATTGTCTATGTACATAGTTAAACTTAAGATTTGATATTTGATTTTTGAGAAGCGAGATGTGCGTTTATTTTGAGAAAATAAGAGTAGCCTATATGGGAAAAGAGAAGATTCTGACTATATGGTTGTGGTTGCGGCGAATCACCCACCAGGAACACCACATATACTACTGGCTCACATGCGGCTTCAGTTTGTTCCTAACTTACATGCTCCTCTTTTCAGAACAATTCGTGGTCGGGAAGATCTGCATCAATCGTAAATGAGCCAGAGGACTAGTACCTCTGCTTCATTGCTAGTTCTTCCGAGAGCTACTTATTAAGCCGAGCCATGGGACGCCACCTGCTGTGACGTGCACTCTCAAAATCACACACCACTGCAGCCTGCAGAAGAAGGAATAGCCGGTGGCAATGGCGGGTCGGCAACGTGCACCGGCAGCAGCTTCTTCATATTTGCCGCCAGTGATGATGACAGCGGTTCTGTTTCTATGGGTCTTTAGCTGTAAGTTCTTGGTAAACGCGGAGTAGTCTATTTCTTTAATCTTCTTATCTCATTTGTTCCAGAAGAATTATGGATTTAGTTACGGGACAAGAATCATGCATGCTCATCAACGTCTTGGCATAACTGTACCCATGCATGCAGCTAGTAAGACAATTGCTGCTCATTTTTTTTTCTCACATAATGTTATCAATGTAAGGTGGGCATGTGGAGGCAAGCATTGATTTTGGCAACATGACTGCTCTTCAAAAGCACGTTGAATTTTTCGACCGGAATAAGGATGGCATTATTACAGCTTCAGAGCTCTTTGAAGGTGAATGGCTGAGGCCCTGTTTGATGGTTACCTATTCTTAAAAACCAATTTTTATCTTTAGTTTTTAAAATCTGTATTTTGAGCAAAAACTAATAGGGTGTTTGGATTCCCTAGTTTTTAAGAATCTGACTTCATTAATTTTCTATGGGTAACAAGAAACTGACAAAAGCTAGGTATTAACAGCTTCTTGATTTTTAGGAATATGGCAAAAACTAACAACAAAAACTGGCTTGTTTGGATTTCACCTGGTTTTCAAAAGCCAGATTTAAAAAACTGGCAAAAACAGGAGAGATGAGCCTAAACTAGTGCAGTAGTACATCGAATGAGAGACCTATATAGGCTCTAGCTTTTGTGTTACGATGAATTGCTTTCTCTGTCGGATCTTTCCTGTCATCATAATTAAAGAAGGACAACAGAATCATACTTCTCACTTGGCCGATCGGCACATCATATCTAACCTATACTCCCTCCGTCCCAGCATACAAGACACAACCACATCTGATTCAAAGACAAAAAAATGTATTTAATTTTCTCTTAACACTAGCATTATTGTATTAATGCACGTGTGATTAGAGAGAGTACGCCTTATATTATGGGACTTGAATAAAAATGGTTACGCGTTATATATTAGGACGGAGGGAGTATATAATAGTTCATTTCTGTTAATCTCTCCTGATCTTTTTCACATATTGTTAAACGTCCATGTATATGTTACCCTCTAAACTTTCTACCATGTGAATTTTAAACATGAATCTCGTTTGTCGCACAAGTCACTAATTTGAACTTGTTGTGTTAGCTAGAAATATGTTATAAACTATATTTTAATTTAAAATGGACGAAATAAATTCTGCTGGTCCACGTCACTACGTCTCAGGTCCTAGTCATGGATAATTTTCTATCAGCGAGTTTAATAACACAAAATAATAAAATTCATTCATAATTTCATATATACGTTTTAGATTTTAGCAGTTTCATTACCGCATAAAATTTCCTATAATACTTTGAGCTCACACTTGGTGTTGTAGGATATGTTGCACTCGGATGTGATGCCGTATTTGCCAGAAAAAAAGCCGCATCTATGAGTGCTGCTGTTGGTCCAAAAACAAGCCCTGTACAGTCCACTGCTCTCTCTCTCTCTCACACACATTGTTTTATTTAATAAATACTTCATTCATTTTAAATTATAAGTTATTTTCGCTTTTGTAGTTAAGCTGTTTTTGCAACGCATCTAAATATAGATTATATCTAGATACATATATAATTAAAGCTATGTATATAGAAAAATCCAATTGACTTACAATTTAGAACAAAGGAGTACTACTCTAATGGATAATAATAGCAGAAATAATATTCATTTGCGGAGAAGTGTGAAAGCATATGCTTGTGGCAGACAAATAGGAACCTGTCGCTTCACCAAATGGATTGATTAATAAGTACTAAGAGTTTATGCATAATTTTTTTTCTATCATGTTACGTGTAGCTGATTTTTATTTAGAGGGTTTGTCTATGTTATTTTCCATAATGACAACAGTTGATTATTTAGATCAAGATTTTGCAATCACTTTTTGACCGTGTTCATAATGGCAGCGGCAGTGGGTAATCTTTTTGGAGACAGATTAGATCAAATGGTTATTATTATCATCAACGATGAAATCACCGGCTGTTTTCTATTTTTGTTAGAATTTAAGAATGTTTTTTCTTTCCTGACATGATCCTAGAGTGTGTGCCAAAGGGCCTCTATTCTAGTTGGTCAGAGTATCCCGGCGGCACTCCTCAAGTCCTGGGTTCGACTTTCCGTGGGAGCAAATTTCAGGCTGATGTTAAAAAAAATCCCCTCGTCCGTCCCATATTCAAAACAGTAGGGGGCACCGGCCCAATTCTCACTTGGGCGACGGAAAGCCACCATGTAAGGATGGGGCGGGGGTTTTCTCGGCCTGATGAGAAGATCTTCTTATTTGGAATGCTGTGGGGCAGTCTTTAACCCTTTCAGGTCGAGTTTTTTTATCCTAGAGTGTGTAGTACCCAACATGTCCTCTTGCTAGAATTTATATCAATGGGCTCACTTGGGTCACTCTTTAGAATTTATATCACCGGGTTTACTTGGGTCACTCTTTAAGGTCGCAATGCTATTTTCTCTTTTAGAAAGAGAGGTCTAGAATTTTATGGAGAAGATTGTGGTGTATAAATAATAAAAGTTATTGGGGGTCAGCATAACCCTATGGAACAACGGAGCTCCATCCTTGCTCAACTAACCTTTTATGCCATCGTAGTAATAAGAGTGCAACTTATGACCTAAAATCTTTTTTTAAATAACATATAAAATGAGAATTTTGAATAAACGTAGGAATCTGGCTGATGAGTCAATTCCCTTTATATGCCATTATTAAAATTACAAATCTTCTTATGTGGTTGAGAAAAAGTTTACATCCTTCTAGTGCAACTGATTTCAATCTATATCCCTTTCATGTCGCTCCTATCAAAACTTTTGTTTTTTTTCCAACAAATTTCCAAATTGTCCTTTTAACCCATCTCCTCCATTCGAGCCGGTGACGGATGACCAAGTTGGGGCAACATTTTCATATTTTGAATATTGATAAGCCCTCTAGATCTGTCGCTATTTTGTATGCCGATATGCGTTTACAATTTTGCTTGTATTCATATGATTTCTGTAGCTGTCCATTAAAATACTATTATCCAGCAAAACAAATCCATACACGATGAGTGCACACACATACCCCATATGGCCATATACGTACACAGATGAGATTGATTTGTTGATTCGCACATAATAGTAAGAAACTTAATTCTCTCTGCTTTTTCTTTAAAAAAATTCAATACAGGTTGGTGCACCACTGCCTCATTTATCCATATACGTAGAGTATATCCATAAAGCAATGCATGGAAGTGATACAGGTGCATACGACGCTGAAGGAAGGTAATTGTACAAGTGACTGACTGACTGAATGCATTATTACATCAGTTCAGCATTATATATACAAATGACAGAGTGCATCATTACTTTAGATCAACATTATATATACAAATGACATTTACATTATTATATGTTGTACAAACATGCCACATGACCACAAATAACACCATTTTATGTTTTATTTTATTTTTTTCAAATTTGCCTGGGTACTAATTAAACATGCCATGCTATTATTGTAGGTTTGTTCCTGCAAAGTTTGAAGAAATATTCACAAAGCATGCAAAGGTCAGGCCAGATGCGTTAACGTCTGAGGAGATTGAGGAGATGATTCTAGCAAATCGAGATCCATTAGACCCCCAATCATGGTAATTTTTTAATATGCATTGATTATTGCTACTAGTGAGTTGCAATGAGTTCCCTTTGAATAAGACACTACACAAAAGTCAAAATTTAGCATTTTCTTGATTCATCTAAGTTTTCTTTCCCTATATGTAAATAATATAGCCTATATTATTATCTATATAGGTCTGCACCTGAAGCAGAATGGGGACTGACATACAAGCTTGCAAGTGATAAGCAAGGATTCCTTCACAAGGACTCTGCAAGAGGCATATATGATGGAAGTGTGTTTTACAAGTTGGAGGAACAGAAGACGTCTGTAAGATGTGAGATGTGATATGTGAATCATATATGCCTCTTGCCTAATACACAAAAGTGTATTAGGAAATTAAGAGATTGCTATTTGAATCAAATATTATATTGTACAATATTATATTTGTTGTGATTTTTGTGTTAGGCCTTGGAGTCCATAGTTCACAGTATCTTGGGTACATTGTAAAGTATATGGACCAATATCTTGGGTGTTCACTGAAGAATGATATAAGCATCCAAGTAGTCGGCTTGTGTTCACTGAAGAATGATATATAAGCATCTTGCTAAGTCGGCTTATGCTCGAGTTCACCCAAATTTAAAAAAAAATGCATTACAAGTAATAGATTCTCCAATGCACAAAGTACCCAGAGGCAACAGCCATGAGTCACCACCGGTCATGTGCATTCACACTGCTCTAGTGTCACTACAACAGTCGAGACTTGGAGAGGCTCAGGGTCCTCCTCTTTTGGAGAGGCTCTTGACCTGGTTCCACTCTATTTGTTCTGTAGCCAGCAGGCGTGCCACACGCCTCTGAGCCCTGTCCGGTTCTACACAGAAAACTGTCATTTCTAGCCAAGAAAGGGGTGGTGGCACCGTGGCACTGGACCCCAGGCCCCCAGCCTTCCGGACACTTCCACCGACTACGCTGAACGTGCGTGCCTTTCCTGAATCGAACGGAGCAAGATCGGTTTGCCAGTGTAAAGCCGCCGGCAGCAGGCCACACGTACAGCTTCCAGTGATGGTCTAGTGTCGTCTACTACCTCTGCACCTATTTAAGCAGAGCAATGTGCCAATGCTTACTAGCTCAACACATATCCACACAACTGGAGACGCTGAACTCGTAGATGGAAACAATGGCGGGCCGACAGCCGCTGGCGGTGGATGCTTCCCTGAGGCCGCTGTCAATTGCGTCTGCGCTGCTGATACGGAGCGTTTGCTGCAAGTATCCAAACTTTTAGTGCTATTTGACATTTTCCCGTTGCTTCTCGACTCGTAATTAATAATATATATACTTGCGCTAAAGGGTCTCTAGTCCAACTGGTTAGAGCGTCTCAGCGGCACTTCTCAGGTCCTGGATTCAACTCTCCGTGGGAGTGAATTTCAGGCTGGGATTAAAAAAATCCCCTCGTCTGTCCTACACCAGAGCACAGGTCTAAGGAACGGCCCTGTTCTCACAGGGCTACGCTGCCGTTGTGTATGGGTGGGGCAAGAGTTCGGGGGTTTTCTGAACCTGCATGAGAAGATCTTCTTTTTCTTAATGCAATGCCCGGAGTGGTCATACCTCCACAGGTCCAGTTAATATATATACTTGCAGTGAGTTTCAGACATCGATGCTTCCTTTCTTTTGTAATATAGGTGCCGTGGTGAGTGTGATCAAGGCCACTACCTGACGGTGGTAGCTCCAACTCCAACAAGACAGAACTCCAGATGCATGTGTCATTCTTCGACAGGAACAAAGATGGCATTCTCACTCCTCTTGAAACTTTCCAAGGTGTGCTATTTTTTGGAGTTCATCTGTTCGATTCACCGTATGGAATTATCCTTTTTTTCCCATCTATTTCTGTACCTTCGACGATACACAGGATTTGTTGCTATCGGATGTGAAATTGCCTTCTCCACCGCGGCTGCATCAACAATTCATACTGCTCCCGCTCCTTTCACTAACCCTGTACGCTCGCTCTCTTTAATCAAGTGAGCAAATTTGTTATCAAAACTTGCAGTGCTTCATTCTTACCGTTGGTTGTTTTCTACTTCTACTCAATAATGCAGCCTGGTGCACTGCCACCTTACGTAAATATCTACGTGGAGTACATCCACAAAGCGATTCATGGAAGCGACACCGGTGCCTATGATTCCAAAGGAAGGTAGAAGAAACACCTTGTCTTCAAACTTACCACTAACACAACTTAGAGATAAGGTGAATAACAGCCATTGTTGTCATTGGAAATACTACTCCAATACAGTTAGCATTTAGCCGCACAAATACGTTATCCAAAGAGAGATAGAAATGGAAATATATTTACCATTGTTGTGTTCCTACTTCCAGGTTAAAGGGCGTACCCAGTGCAGAGAGCTCCTACTTCCAGGTTTGTCCAGGAAAAAATTGACGAAATATTTACGAAGCATGCTCATATCAGAAAAGACGCCTTGTGCCCTTGTCGCTCTTGGAGGAAGAAGAGATGCTCACATTCAACCAGGATGTTCTTGATCCTGCATCATGGTATTGTTTACTGAACACACACAAATATAACTGCTGATACTCGTCATACTTCTCCCTATCATATAAACATCAATTTAAACAGGCTTGTTCGGGGGAAAAAAAAGGGGTTGATATGTTTTCAAAGCTAACTATAGTGCTCACATCTCACAAGAGAATAAAAATGCAGGGCTGCGGCTGAGGCCGAGTGGCAGCTGATCTACCAGCTAGCCCACGACAGGTATGGGTTTCTTACCAAGGAACGCGCGAGGGGCATCTACAACGGGAACATCTTTGTTGAGCTTGAGGAACGCAGCAGGAGACCTCTTCACAGCAACGCATGATCAGTCATTAGTTTGTCGGCTGCAGCAAACTTGCATGTTTCATATATCACAATTAGGCAGCTGTGTAGTACCAGCATCTTGTACTGGAATTGAACTTGATTTCTATACTTCACTCTATTTGCACGTGGACTACACTTTGTTCCTTCTATATTTATAACAACATCTGTATCACTTATTTCACTAAGGTCTTGTTTGGATGTTGCTAAAACATGTACACCTATAAATTATTCATGCTTGCATTTTGTTGTGTACAAGGAAACCAGATGATAATTGTCGGTTTGTAAAATGTGATTTGGAAGCACAGTATCGAAGGGTAGTAGTTGGGTCATCTATCGGAGAGTAGCCTAGAAGTAGACATGAGGCCCAAGCGAGCAAAGAAACCCAATCCGAAGTACTTTGGGCCCAACTAGACGATGACGTAGGAGAGTCCGCTTCTAGGAGCTAATAGTGAGAGAGGAGGGGAAGGAAACAGATATAGAGAACAGAGAGGTGTTGGCCAGCTGCGTCCACAGATGGCAGCTGGAGCTAGTTGCCCCGATCGTGTAACCGATCCTATAATCTCTGTTCTAAATACCACCGATACACTAAGAGAAGTGAAGGAGTGAAATTAGTGTTGGGTTCATGACGAATTGGTACTGGAGCAGTAAGATCCTAGCAACAACAAGAGATTGGCTAGAAAGACATAGTCCAGTGGAGATTAATTGGAAAGAGAAGTGGATGTCCTTTGGCCTCCAAGGTAGTAGAGCAATCCTCCAAGGAATTACCTCAAAGGTAGTGCATTGTGAGATAATCAGTAGGCAAGACTTAGCAGTCTTAGCTAACCAGGACATATTGTGGTGCTTACTTGAGCTGAAGACAATCGACAGTAATCCAAACTTGGTGCTTAGACCTCCAGAGGTGCAGTCATTGGTGGATGAGTTCACAGATATATTTCTTCCTCCTACTGGTTTACCGCCTAAGAGGGCTTCAGTTCATACTATTCCACTCATCTCAGGGGTTCAACAATTCAGATGAAGGCCCTATAGATATAATTCATCCCAGAAGGATGAAATTGAAAGGCAAGTACAACATTTACTTGAGAATGGATGGGTTCAGGAAAGTAAGGCCCTTGTGCTTCCCTAGCTCTGCTAGTTAAGAAAATGACAGGAGATTGGCGTCTTTGTGTGGATTATTTGAATGCCTTGACGATCAAGAACAAGTTTCCACTACCTGTTATTGATGAACTTTTGAATGAATTTGTTGGGTCAACATGGTTCACCACACTAGATATATCCTATGGATTCCATCAGATATTGCTAGCTGAAGACGATGTTGCAAAGACGGCTTTTCAAACACACCATGGGCACTATGAATACAAGGTTATGCCATATGGTGTAACTAGGGGACCTACCACATTTCAACATGAAATGAATAAATATTATGTCCTATTTTAAGAAAATTTGTTGTGGTGTTTATTGATGATATTCTAATATATAGTAAAACTTGGGATGATCATCTTGTTCACATCATATAAGTGTTCTGCCTACTCCAACAACATCAATTCAAGGCTAAACTATCAAAGTGTTCCTTTGCACAAAGAAAGCTGGCATACTTGGGTCATATCATTAGTGCTTAGGGAGTGGCAACTGATCCAAGTAAGGTTGCTAAAGTCAAGAATTTGCTTACTCCTTCATCTATCAAAGAGGTTAGTAGCTTCTTAGGGTTGGCTAGGTACTATAGAAAGTTTGTACAAAATTTTGGAGCCATCAGCAAGCCATTACCATCCTCTTGAAGAAGGGCACTGTGTTCCTTTGGACAACTGCACAAGAAGCCTCCTTCCAAGCATTGAAGACTACCTTGATCACAGCTCTTGTTCTAGCACTGCCAGACCTCCACAAACCCTTTACCATTGAAACAGATGCTTCTGACAAGGGAATTAGTGCAATGCTTCAACAAGAAGGCAATCTAATAGATTATGTCAGCAAAGCTTTGGGACCTAAGAACCAAGCTCTGTCCACCTATGAAAAGGTGTGTCTAGCTATTTTGTTGGTTGTTGATCACTGCAGAACTTATCTGCAACAAAGTGAATTTCTCTCAAGATTGACCAAAGAAGTCTTGTACATTTAGATGATCAAAGGCTGACAACTCCTTGACAACATAAGGCTCTAACCAAGTTGTTGGGCTTCAGGTACAAAATTTGTTACAAACAAGGGGCAGAAAATAGAGTTGTAGATGCCCTTTTAGGACTTTTCTAAGTCATCCCCATCAAGAACTGTTGGCAGTATCTACCTTACGGTCAATGTGACTTCAAGACTTAGTGAATGCTTATACATATTTTCCATACACTACCAAGCTTCTCTCCACTTTAGCAGTGCAGAATCCTCATGGTCTATTTACACTGCAACATGGTATCATCATATATAAGGGTAGGATTTGGGTTAGTGGTAATAGATCCATCCAATTCAAGATTCTTGAGTCATTACACTCTAGTCCACTTGGTGGCCATTCAGGTTTTCCAGTCACTTATAGGAGGATAAAAAATCTTTTTACTTGGCCTGACTAGAAGGGAATGATTAAGCAATTTGTGGCTCAATGTTCTGTCTGCCAACATGCTAAATCTAAAAGGGTGAAATATCCAGGCCTCTTACAACCCTTCCTGTAGCATTTTATGCTTGGAAAATGGTTTGTTTGGACTTCATTGGAGGTTTGCCAAAATCTCAAAACTTCAACTGCATTCTAGTGGAGTTTTCAAAGTA